CCATCCTAAGTACAGTAATACTAGATTGCTATCTGTAAGCTGAGTGTTACTAGCCTCCCATCCTAAGTACAGTGTTACTAGATTGCTATCTGTAAGTTGAGTGTTACTAGCCTCCCATCCTAAGTACAGTGTTACTAGATTGCTATCTGTAAGTTGAGTGTTACTAGCCTCCCATCCTAAGTACAGTGTTACTAGATTGCTATCTGTAAGTTGAGTGTTACTAGCCTCCCATCCTAAGTACAGTGTTACAAGATTGCTATCTGTAAGTTGAGTGTTACTAGCCTCCCATCCTAAGTTACAAGATTGCTATCTGTAAGTTGAGTGTTACTGTTACCTAGATTGCTATCTGTAAGTTGAGTGTTACTAGCCTCCCATCCTAAGTACAGTGTTACTAGATTGCTATCTGTAAGTTGAGTGTTACTAGCCTCCCATCCTAAGTACAGTGTTACAAGATTGCTATCTGTAAGTTGAGTGTTACTAGCCTCCCATCCTAAGAACAGTGTTACAAGATTGCTATCTGTAAGTTGAGTGTTACTAGCCTCCCATCCTAAGTACAGTGTTACAAGATTGCTATCTGTAAGTTGAGTGTTACTAGCCTCCCATCCTAAGTACAGTGTTACTGTAAGTTTGCTAGCCTCCCATCCTAAGTACAGTTACAAGTTGCTATGTAGTTGAGTGTTACTAGCCTCCCATCCTAAGTACAGTGTTACAAGATTGCTATCTGTAAGTTGAGTGTTACTAGCCTCCCATCCTAAGTACAGTGTTACAAGATTGCTATCTGTAAGTTGAGTGTTACTAGCCTCCCATCCTAAGTACAGTGTTACTAGATTGCTATCTGTAAGTTGAGTGTTACTAGCCTCCCATCCTAAGTACAGTGTTACTAGATTGCTATCTGTAAGTTGAGTGTTACTAGCCTCCCATCCTAAGTACAGTGTTACTAGATTGCTATCTGTAAGTTGAGTGTTACTAGCCTCCCATCCTAAGTACGGTGTTACTAGCCTGCCATCTGTAAGTTGAGTGTTACTAGCCTGCCATCTGTAAGTTGAGTGTTACTAGCCTCTCATCCTTTTGCATGGTGTTACTAGCCTACCATCTGTAAGTTGTGTACTATTAGCCTTCCTTCTGTAAGAGGAACAAAATGACTTTTGGAAAGTGGTCAAATGTAACATATTATTTTGGTAGTTTCCTTTTTTTCATTAAGGTACAGATTTTAAAATGTTTACGGCTGACTTGCTTGTCTGAATTGAACCCACTCTTTCAAAGCGAGCCACCTAAAGCCAGCACACAAAGTTTATCTAACCCACTCAGAAACCTTGACTTTCACAAAAGTCCGAAAACTGTTAGTGAAGATGACATGCTTTGTATACCCCCTGACAAGTGAAACTTGGCATGCATCAAGATGACATGCTTTGTATACCCCCTGACAAGTGAAACTTGGCATGCATCAAGATGACATGCTTTGTATACCCCCTGACAAGTGAAACTTGGCATGCATCAAGATGACATGCTGTGTATACCCCTGACAAAACTTGGCAAGTGATGACATGCTTTGTATACCCCCGCATGCATCAAGATGACATGCTTTGTATACCCCCTGACAAGTGAAACTTGGCATGCATCAAGATGACATGCTTTGTATACCCCCTGACAAGTGAAACTTGGCATGCATCAAGATGACATGCTTTGTATACCCCCTGACAAGTGAAACTTGGCATGCATCAAGATGACATGCTTTGTATACCCCCTGACAAAGTGAAACTTGATCAAGATGACATGCTTTGTATACCCCCTGACAAGTGAAACTTGGCATGCATCAAGATGACATGCTTTGTATACCCCCTGACAAGTGAAACTTGGCATGCATCAAGATGACATGCTTTGTATACCCCCTGACAAGTGAAACTTGGCATGCATCAAGATGACATGCTTTGTATACCCCCGGACAAGTGAAACTTGGCATGCATAAAGAAAATGACATGCTTTGTATACCCCGGACAAGTGAAACTTGGCATGCATCAAGATGACATGCTTTGTATACCCCGTGACAAGTGAAACTTGGCATGCATCAAGATGACATGCTTTGTATACCCCCTGACAAGAGAAACTTGGCATGCATCCAAACACCAAAACCTAGGAATACACTATGCCTGTTTGAAAGTGGTCAGGTCAAACAAATGTTTTATTTGGGATTACACTTTCTCAGTAAAGTACTAATTTTAGTATGTTTAGGGTCTGAGTTGTATTTGCACCCACAGTTTCAAAATGAGGCACCTAATTGCAAAGACAGAGAGAGACAGCCATGAGAGACCTATGTGAGACAGCTGTCTGCTGAAACTATGTCAGTCAGACATGGGAGACAACTATATGAGACATCCTTGATTATTGGAATCCAGGGAGTGGGCATGAACTCTTTTAGTTCAAAATAACTGGTCAGGTACATCCTAATAATCAAGTGATATGCCATTGAAAAAAGTGAGCTTCTGTACCTGCCTGCCTAATTTTCATTTGATGGCCTGCTTTAAAGATATCCATGCCTAACTTTATAGCTTCCCTGGCCTCATAGTTACCTAAGTTTATGTCAGTACATGTTTATGGCAGTGAATACCTACAATAGTGTCAATATCAACCAGAAATTTGAACTTGGTTGGCTTTGTGATGTCAGTTATGATAAATTAATGAAACTTCTGAATATAATATGAAGATATATATATTGTTACACATATCTGTCTCAGGAGCCATGACACAGTATGATTTCCAGTATTTTGTATGTTTTTTTTCAAATCCCATGCAGGGCACTGGGGTAGCCTAATGGTTAAAGTGTCTGCTCATCATGCTGAAGATCCAGGTTTGATTCTGAACATGGGTACAATGTACTGCGAACAGGGGGCGCAGTGGGTGAACTGGCTACTGATCCAACGAGCTTGAGGTTACAGGATCGAGCCCACCTGTGACCAGGTGTAAAAAACCTTGGCGTCAACTTTGTGTGCAGACTCTTTCAGTGTTGTCACAACCCCTAGTGTACAGTACACAACCCTGTGCACTTAAAAGAACCCACGAATCCACATGAATATGTGCAAACACCTAGTTGTGGGTACAGCAACATGCAGTGAACTTGGACAAAGAATCGGACTATGTGTCCCTGTCCACCCAGCTTTGAATGGGTACCTCATAAGGATGAGAAAACCGCAATAACTCGGTGCGCCTAGTGGCTGCAAGAGTTGTATGATCCCCGGGGAGATGAGATTGATAATACGATGTGCCGTTGAGATTGACATCCAGTGATGTCCAGTGATGGAAAAAAATGTCAGCGCCTTGAGCATGTATTAGATACGTGGATATGTGCGCGCTATATAAATATCCTATAATAATAATACAATGTGTGAAGCCCATATCTGGTGTCTGGGATATTGCTGAAACATTGCTAAAAGCGGCGTAAAGCCATATTCACTCACTCACTTCAACTCCCATGCTTGCATAATCATCTGAAGAGCCCAATGGTATTGAGAAACAGCATAGGCCTGGTTCCTCACAGGGATTCTGTTGCTGGATATATGTCCATATTTTCCCAGTTGCACTAAACCATCAGATTGTGAGTCAGTGAAGGAAGCTGGAAAATTGCATTCTCTACTTTTCAATATGTTTGGGTCATAAAAATTTGGGTGTCTCAACAAATGACTGACTGACTGAGTTTGGCTTTAAGCCGCTTTTAGCAATATTCCAGCAACATCACGGCTGGGGACACCAGAAATGGGCTTCACACGTTGTACCCATGTGGGGATTCGAACCCGGGTCTTCGGCGTGACGAGCCAACGCTTTAACCACTTTTTACCCCACCGCCCCCTCAACAAATGACATTACCTTTGGCAGTATTACCTGCTTTACATCAAAAGAACATTTTGATGGTGTTTTAAGCAATCATTACATATGAAAGTGCACCTTATCGAAAATGTGACCGCTTTTGCATCAGTGCCAAATGTTAATAAAACAAGACTCTTGACAACAAAATTAGAAATTTATCCTGGTTTCTGCAGAATTATTTCACATCATAGGAATTTATCAAACATTCAATAAACATGAGGAGAGAATACTTTTAATAAATTCTTCAACTTCATTTCATGATCCTGTTGAACTATGGATCTCACCAACATGTTAAGTCTTAAGATGGTGTGATGTAACTGAAATTATGTTGAAATTGGTGTTAAACCAAACTCACTTACTCAGTGTTCTGGATTGACTCCTGATAACACTCTCGACCTCTCTTTTGTCTTGTCCAGATGGGACTACATGTACTTCCTAACTGCCAGGGACAGCATTCCACCAGATTCACTCACCTTGCACTTACCTGTCACTATATGTCTGTGGGGTGCTGGAATTCTTATGGAGATTATGTTTGAAGCCAGTTTCTGTGTTCCATGCCATGATGTTACTGGAATATTGCCAAAAGTGGCGTAAAACCTTACTCACTCACTCAGCTTACGGAGAATGGAGGTTGGTTCCTGTTCCACAAAACACAGGAATGTCTTTTTTGTCTTGATAGAACTTATAGTGGTTGAGGTACTGCAGTAGTATTGTGGTTGAAGCCTGTTGGTGCTTAATACAAACATGTTGTTTCTGACATTGGGTTTGTACTCACTGGCAAGGTGGATATAAATGGGCTATCATGCATATTGATCGACTCTGGATTCAGTCATGCTTAGATATGTTGTTAATGAGGGCTTGTGTTTTAGAATGTGGTACTTTGTAGCATGCTTATGTCATACTCTGCACATATATAAAGGCATTTTGTGAATGTTCAAATATCTTCTGTCTTTAGATATAACTTTCAGTTACACAATATGAGATCTGCAGGTCACTGAATCTGTAATTGAAAAGAATGAAATAAAAACATAGGAATCAGGATTGGCACGATTATTGTGTGTTTCAGTCTTAAGAATGTTTCGAGTCTTTCAATAATATAAATTTTGACAAATGACGTTCTCACCAGCATTTTGTACTTTCAGCTGTGCACAGTGAAGATTGTGATGCAATGAAGGTCTACTGAAGCTGGCGCCATGTTCTCTGTGCGCATTGTAACCACCGACCACTATCTGGCTCCACCTATACCCGGGCTCGACGTCACACACTCGCTCTTCCGGGGATGTGATGTTAAGAGAGTGCCTGTCCTGAGGATATTTGGAGCAACACCAGCTGGTCAGTGGGATAAACTGTCACAGAGAATTAACAGTTATTACTGAATGAGTCAGGATACCATCTGTTTTGACTGTCACACATTTCAGTGGCGTTTCTAATATTAACAAATCATATATAATGTCTTTCAGTGGCATTTAGAAGTTGTACATTAATGTCCAAGATATTTTTATGAATTGAAAAGAAGTTTAATCCATAAAAATATTTTGGAAATCATATATATATATTTTGATTCTCTGCTGTCAGGTTTCTAGTTTTTAGGTTTTCAGAGTCGGTAAAAGTAATGTTCGGCAACTTACAACCATGACTGCCAGCTTACTATGGACCCTGATTTTAATGACCGTCACTCATCCATCCACCCTTATATCATACCTGTTGCTCATCTGTTCTACCCTATATCATACTTGTCACTTTGCCATTCATTCTATATCATACCTGTCACTCTGCCATCTACCCTCATATCATACCTGTCGCTCTGCCATCAACCTATATATCATACCTGTCACTCTGCCATCCACCCTCATATCATACCTGTCGCTCTGCCATCAACCTATATATCATACCTGTCACTCTACCATCACCCTTATGTCATACCTGTCACTCATCCGTCCAACCTCATACAATACCTGTCACTCATCCATCCACCTTCATATCCTACCCATCACACAACCATCCACCCTTGTATAAATACCTCTGTGGGATCTTGACAAAAGAACTGGATTGTCCCCTAACATTCATTAATAAAAATATGCTTCATCCTGATGTAAAAATTGAAATTGTCTGACACAAAAATTACATCAATGCAAGGTCTTTTCTTAGAAAATAATGTCAGGCTCATAGATTTAATTACGAAACTATATCTATGCCTGACATAATATCTATTGTCCAGAAGCCCAACCTCACCCTGCAGATGTCACTGGTCTGTACCATATGTACATGTATGTATTAAAGTATCTAGATAACATTCCGTATGTTTGAAGTCTATGTCTTTATGTAAGACATTAAGAATGAGCCAGTGCATGATCTGGTGCTTGAATAATTCATGATTGCCACTATCTGATTGCAGTGATGCTCTGTCTATCTAATTTCTAAAAGAGATTACATGTTTTGTATTGTGGTATGGTTTGTCTGTCATTAAAAATCTGCTACATAGAGGCTGACATTTGCCTATTGATTTCTAGGACAAAAGACGTGCATGCACGTTCATGGAGTGTTTCCTTACCTTTACGTCCCATATGACGGCACACAACCATGGGAGAGATACCTGCGTCTCTTTTCTACAAGCCTTGACAAAGCCATTAATGTGGCAAATAACAGTGCCAAGGCTGATGTCCAGCATGTCTTCAAGATTTCCATTGTCTCCGGAATGTAAGTACACTGCATCATAGTCAAACAAGTATCTCATTGTATGTGCAACATGATACATATCCAAGAAGTATTTTATTATATGTTCAACGTGGTACATCTCCTGAGAAGTGCATTGTACGTGCAACATAGTACATATCCTAAGAAGTATCTTATTATATGTGGAACATAGTAGATTTCCCAAGTAGTATCTTATAATATGGGCACCATAGTACATATCCAAAGAAGTATCTTATTATATGTGCAACATAGTACATATCCTAAGAAGTATCTTATATGTGCAACATAGTACATATCCCAAGAAGTATCTTATTATATGTGCAACATAGTATCTATCTTATTATATGTGCAACATAGTACATATCCTAAGAAGTATCTTATATAACATAGTGCAAACCTAAGAAGTATCTAATTATATGTACATATACCCTAAGAAGTATCTTATTATATGTGCAACATAGTACATATCCTAAGAAGTATCTTATTATATGTGCAACATAGTACATATCCTAAGAAGTATCTTATATATGTGCAACATAGTACATATCCTAAGAAGTATCTTATATATGTGCAACATAGTACATATCCTAAGAAGTATCTTATTATATGTGCAACATAGTACATATCCTAAGAAGTATCTTATATGTGCAACATAGTACATATCCTAAGAAGTATCTTATATGTGCAACATAGTCCTAAGAAGTATCTTATTATATGTACAACATATGTGCAGTACATATCATCTTATCCCTAAGAAGTATCTTATTATATGTGCAACATAGTACATATCCTAAGAAGTATCTTATTATATGTGCAACATAGTACATATCCTAAGAAGTATCTTATTATATGTACAACATAGTACATATCCTAAGAAGTATCTTATTATATGTACAACATAGTGCATATCCTAAGAAGTATCTTATATTTGCAACATAGTACATATCCTAAGAAGTATCTTATATGTGCAACATAGTACATATCCCAAGAAGTATCTTATTATATGTGCAACATAGTACATATCCTAAGAAGTATCTTATTTTATGTACAACATAGTACATATCCTAAGAAGTATCTTATTATATGTACAACATAGTACATATCCTAAGAAGTATCTTATTATATGTGCAACATAGTACATACCCTAAGAAGTATCTTATATGTGCAACATAGTACATATCCTAAGAAGTATCTTATTATATGTGCAACATAGTATTCTGCTGTGTCATTGTACTTATCATACATAGTCAAAGTGATGTCTCTTTGTGTGTGTAACATAGATCAGAGATAATTCTATTTATAATTAATTAGCAAATCCTTATAGATTGTGTAAGAGTACAGTAAGTCAATTCTGATCATGTGTCAGTTGACAACAGATGTATTGCTCATTTTTCATGAAATGCAAATCCTGAAAGTGTGTTGTAAAGCTGAAATTCTTGAAATGTGAAGGTGATATTCTGGTGTGTGACAGAAAGATCTCTTGGTTTGTGATAGGTTGCAAGCTTCATAAAAGTGTGAGCTGGGAAATGGGTGTGCATTATTGATTGTGTTGCTGGTGGTGACATTTGTACTTTCGACTCAGCTCTGGCAGACCAGCATTGTATTCTGAACTGAACATGTATTTTCCTGTACATATGTAACTTGATAAAATTCCCTGTATTCGTTGCAAAAGGTTTGATTTTGCAAAAATTGGAATCATGGAAATTGTTTCAAGAAGACTGTTGACTTCATCGTTGGCTTGTTAAGAGTTGTTGATGAAGTCACATTACATGTGCAGATCAATAATGGTGTTAACTCAAGCTGTAACCTCTGACCCCTGAGTGATGTGTTATGGGGCATAGGGATGAGAGGGGGCCTGTCCTGAGTTGAGAATATTGGAGAAGAAGCCCTGATTCCTTGACAGATGAATTCCGAGAGTGATGTCCTCACACATCGACAAGGACACAGCAAATTGAATATCGATGTGATATAGAGAGTATTGATTTTCTCTGATAAGACTGACATTTGTGTGAATGCTTCCGAGACATTGGTCTTGAGTATCTGATCCTCCCACTGACAGAGAAACTGGACGAGAACGGAGGACGAAGAACAGTCCGCACACACTGACCAGCTGCCATTGATTTTGGGAATGGGGATAATAAGCAGAGAAACGAATGGGAGGGTAGCTTCACGCATGCTAGCTCTTTCTGCTTCACTGCAGCCAGCATTAATCCAAATTATTTCACTTAAGGAAATCATTGCTCCTTCTTCCAAGTTGATCTTCTTCTTTCATTTTCTCTGATTATGTAAAATGCTTGCTTGTATCATGTTTTTATTAATAAGAATATGAATACTGTATATTGTTGGAAGCAGTGTCTGACAAAAATCACCCGTATTTATCCAGTGTATAATACTGTGGTATAATATTCAGTTATTATTACATGTATTTTCTACCAAAACCTTGTATTGGCTCTGTGCAGAGTTGTGTCCCTTGGGCATAGAGGAAATCTATGAACATCGGTTCAAATCCTGTTTTGCTCTGATGATGTATCAAGGTTGGTCAGCACCATATTCGTACTCGTGGGTTTTACCTGCATCACTTCGGGCTTTCCTTTCTACATGAAATTGGCTGTTCCAAGTGATGTTAAACCTTACTCACTCACCATGGCTTGGTTGAGGAGGCAGTTTTCGTCTCTCTCAAGCTTGGTGATCAGTAGCTTCCAAAACAATGTGTTGAACAGTTTGAAACAAGCAACAATCATTAATTACTTTGACAGTAGTCTGCATTTACAGTTATGTGCCCAATACAAAGTTTCAATGACCAGCAAAATGTAGTCATGATTTGAGTGCTGAATGGAGCATGGTTGGAACTTGGGCCAGTGCATTAGCAACAAATGACTCACCTATAAACTCACTTGACTGTAAACTCACTATCCCACCTGTACCTCACTCAGTTTCTCACGAATCAATGCTTATATAAAGCAAGTGCTCAGTGCAAGTAATTCACATACTTTAGATAACCCCTGTGTCCCATGTGGGCAAATTAGAACTTTGTGTCAGTTATAGATATCCATTGTCAACAATGACATGGTATCTTGAGCAAGTAGTCATTTTTTTTATATATGTCTAGATGAAGTCAGTGTTTGATGCAGGCTTGATTTAATTCAGGCTGCAGTTATATGGCTAGAATGTTGCTGAGTGCAACAAGGAAGAAACCAAGGACCAGTGTTTGAATGTATGTTTTAGTCACTAACATATAAACCGACATTATCTCTGTTGTGTACATCTCTAGTGAGTGAGTGAGTTTAGTTATTACGCTGCTTTTGCAATATTCCAGCAATATCATGACAGGATACACCATTGTACCCATGCTGGGAATCAAACCTGGGTCTCCGTCATGATGAATGCTTTAACCACTTGGCTACCCCACTGCCCAACACATTGCAAGCCCGTGAAGATCCTGTTAGAACTGGTCTTGGCAAGCCATGCTTGTAAGAGGTTACATGATTGGGTGGTCAGTCTTACTGACTTGGTTGTTGCACGACATGGTATCCCATTGTATCAATGACTGGAGAGTTGAGTAAAAACAGACTGTCTTCATATGAGAGCTGAATGTGGCCTTGAATAACAGATAACCACTGGTACTTCTCAAGACTCGGTATTTGACAGCTGTTTTTGAAAGCTCTGCAGCAAACTATGTCATTAGATTTTTTAATGATGTTTCTGCAGCTGTGACTGATGGTCGCTGTGCCACAAAACATGTCATGTCATTTCAGTTCATTGTTTCTCCCGAGACTTGACATGCCTCAGTAAAGGAACCTAGATCTAGTGGCATGTTAAAGCACTCCGTTTAATGTGTAAAGTATTTTATAAGATGATGTAAATTGAGGATGAACATACACACTTAAAACCATCGACAGACACTCGAATTTGTAGCTTGTTTACCATTACCATCAAGGCTGCAACCAGCCAACCACAGATGGGTCATTTGTTCCATCTTGTCAGTTTTAGAGATTAGTGTCATGTCCCCTCCAGCCACTAATCATAGATACTATGATAACAAGAAACTACAGACTCGTGAAGGTCCGGGTTAGAATTGATCTTCAGTAACCCATGCTAGTCGTAAGAGGCGACTAACGGGATCGGGTGATCAGGCTCGCTGACTGGGTTGATTGATGTTCATGCTGTTGATCCCTGGATTGTCTGGTCCAGACTCGGTTATTTACAGACTGCCGCCATATAGCTGGAATATTGCTGAGTGTGGTGTAAAACCTCACTCACTCACTCACTCACAAGAAACTACAAGGGTGGTATGTGATGTACACTTCTCCCAAGAAATTGAGGACGACATGATTTTCCCTTAACAAAACGTAATCACTTAGATTAGCAGATTAAGTTTGGTAATGTGACAGAATGGGATACGCCTTCTTTGACCAAAATTATTCACAATTGTGTCCTGAAGTTTCTAGCAGTTACATCTATAATGCTCTAGTTCCATTCATGAACTATGCGCAAACAAGTGTGACTAAACTGTTTCAAAGTGCAGATAGATGATATGGGCTTCAGGTGAAAATACAAATTCATCTCTGACCCTTCCTTGGTAATAAATTCAAGTCTATATTGTGTAAAATATTCTTAGCAGTAAATTTAAGGTGTAAGAAGAATACAGTCACATACAAGCTGCTCCTCGACTGAGACACTGATTCTCACCTAGAATGTCTTCCCTGCATCAGTGTTGTCCATGCGCATTTCAAATAGAATGAATAGCAAGTATATTTTTAACAATTTTTGCAAGCGTGTGGTATCCTGATTTGATGATGAGCAGTGTACATGTTGACAGAATCTCATAATTTTGGGTTGAAAAAATGTAGTTCACGTGTTACCTTTCACGGTAACATGATTCAGGTATGTCATATATTACAACAGGCCTGTGATGTACACATTTATCGTCTCACCGCATCACACTTTGTGGGATAATCTCTGCTGCAACTCTGAAAACCTGATTCAGTGAGGAACAGGGAACT